GGCAGAACCGGTCCCGGGGAGCAGCACCGCAGCCGCACGGGGCCGGTCCCGGGATGCAGAACCGGTCCCGGGGAGGCAGAGCCGGTCCCGGGAGGCAGAGCCGGTCCCGGGGCAGCCGCCGCCGCACGGGGCCGGTCCCGGGGAGCAGCACCGCACGGGGCCGGTGCCGGGAGGCAGAACCGGTCCCGGAGCAGCACCGCAGCCGCACGGGGCCGTTCCCGGGATGCAGAACCGGTCCCGGGGAGCAGCAGCGGGGCCGGTCCCGGGGGCCAGAGACGGTCCCGGGGAGCAGCACCGCACGGGGCCGGTCCCGGGGAGGCAGAACCGGTCCCGGGGAGCAGAACCGGTCCCGGGGAGCAGCACCGCAGCCGCACGGGGCCGGTCCCGGGGCAGCCGCCGCCGCACGGGCCGGTGCCGGGATGCAGAACCGGTCCCGGGGAGCAGCACCGCACGGTCCCGGTGCCGGTCCCCGGCCGCGGTGCATTCACGGTTCGCGGGCCGCGGGAGGCTGAGCGGAGCTGACGGCAGCCGGCGGCAGCCGCGGCCCGGGGGGAGCGGGCGCGGATCAGGCAGGGCTGACCGGAGCGCGACCCCCGCGCAGCACCGAGCGATGGGCGGCGGCGGCGGGAGGGGGGAACCGGGAGGGGGCGGCTGTGGCAGCCCGGGGCAGCGCGGCCGGGAGGGCGGGAGAGCGGGGAAACGGGAACGGGAACGGGAGTGGGGAATGGGGGAATGGGGAATGGGGAATGGGGAATGGGGAATGGGGAATGGGGAATGGGGAATGGGGAATGGGGAATGGGGAATGGGGAATGGGAACGGGGATGGGGATGGGGATGGGAATGGGGAATGGGAACGGTAGTGGGGAATGGGAACGGGAACGGGAATGGGGATGGGAATGGGGATGGGGACGGGAGAATGGGGATGGGAATGGGGGAATGGGAATGGGAATGGGAGTGGGGATGGGAAATGGGGGAATGGGAACGGGAATGGGGGAATGGGAATGGGAATGGGGGAATGGGAATGAGGGAATGGGGATGGGGACGGGAGTGGGGGAATGGGAATGGGGATGGGGGAATGGGAATGGGGATGGGGGAATGGGGACAGTAATGGGGAATGGGGATGGGAAGGGGAGTGGGGATGGGAAATGGGGAATGGGAATGGGGATGGGGATGGGGAATTGGGGAATGGGGGAATGGGAATGGGAACCGGGATGGGGGAATGGGAATAGGAGTGGGAATTGGGAATGGGGAATGGGGGAATGGTGGAATGGGAATGGGAACAGGAATGGGGATGGGGGAATAGGAATGGGGGAACGGGAACAGGGATGGAGAATGGGGAATGGGAATGGGAATAGGGATGGGGGAATGGGAATGGAAATGGGGATGGGAGTGGGGGAATGGGAATGGGAACAGGAAGAGGGATGGGGATGGGAACAGGGACGAGGATGGGGGAATGGGAATGGGGATGGGGATGGGATGGGGATCAAAGAGGAACGGGAATGGGACTGGGAACGGGAACGGGGATGAGAACAGGAATGGGAACGGGGATGGGAATGGGAATGGGAGTGGGATGGGAACGGGAATGGGAATAGGAATGGGATGGGAATGGGAATGGGAATCAGCCAGGGGGAGGTGGGGGGCACTGAGGGTCAAATCCCATCCTTGGGGACGTTCAGGGGTTGGGAGACAAAATCCCATTGGTGAGGCTTGGAAACAAAACCCCATCCATGGGGATTTATGGGATTTGTAGGGAAAACCCCCTCCAGAAGGATTTGGGGTGGGAAAAGGAACGGGGAGAGGGGAGGGAGGTTTTTTTTTCACGCACATTTTGATTTTTCACGCACATTTTTGATTTTTCACGCCTGGATTCGCCGGCAGCTCCCGGCGGGGCCCGCCCGGAACTTCACGGGGTTTTGGTCGCGGAGTGGAAATGGGAAAAGAGAAAAAAAATCCTACAAAAAAAGGGGAAAATAGCAAAAAATAGGCCTAAAAATAGGTGTAAAGTGACCCTAATAATGACACTAAAATAACCCCAAAAATAAGCCTAAAATAACCCTAAAAATGATCCTAAAATAACCCTAAAAATGACCCTAAAATAACCCTAAGAATGGTCCTAAAAATAACTCTAAAAATGACCCTAAAATAACCATAAAAATGACCCTAAAATAAGCCTAAAAATTACCCTAAAATAACCCTAAAAATGGTCCTAAAAATAACCCTAAAATGACCCTAAAATAACCCCAAAAATAAGCCTAAAATAACCCTAAAAATGACCCTAAAATAACCCTAAAAATGGTCCTAAAAATAACCCTAAAATGACCCTAAAATGACCCCAAAAATAAGCCTAAAATAACCCTAAAAATGACCCTAAAAATAACCCTAAAAATGGTCCTAAAAATAACCCTAGAAATGACCCTAAAAATAAGCCTAAAAATGACCCTTAAATGACCTCAAAAATGACCCTAAAAATGACCCCAAAATGATCCTAAAATAACCCTAAAAATGACCCCAAAAATGACCCCACACGCAGCTCTGAGGGTCCTAAATAGGGATGGAGCTGAGAGGGGATTTGGGGATTTGGGGACACGGAGATTTGGGGATTTGGGGATTTGGGATTTTGGGGATTTGGGGTTTGGGGATTTGGGGATTTGGGGATTTGGGATTTGGGATTTAGGATTTGGGGTTTTGGGGATTTGGGATTTGGGATTTGGGGTTTGGGGATTTGGGGATTGGGGGATTTGGGGATTTGGGGATTGGGGATTGGGGATTGGGGATTTGGGGATTTGGGGTTTGGGGATTGGGGATTTGGGGTTTGGGGATTTGGGATTTGGGGATTTGGGGTTTGGGGATTGGGGATTGGGGATTTGGGGATTTGGGGATTTGGGGACATGGGGATTTGGGGATTTGGGATTTGGGGATTTGTGGCATGGAGATTTGGGGATTTGGGGACACAGGGATTTAGGGATTGGGGATTTGGGGATTTGGGGATTTGGGGATTTGGGAATTTGGGGATTTGGGATTTGGGGTTTGGGGATTTGGGATTTGGGGATTGGGGGATTTGGGGATTTGGGATTTGGGATTTGGGGTTTTGGGGATTTGGGATTTGGGATTTGGGGTTTGGGGATTGGGGATTTGGGGTTTGGGGATTTGGGGGTTTGGGATTTGGGGATTTGGGATTTGGGCTTTTGGGGATTTGGGATTTGGGAATTTGGGGTTTGGGGATTTTGGGATTTGGGGGTTTAGGATTTTGGGATTTGGGGCATGGAGATTTGGGGATTTGGGGATTGGGGGATTTGGGGATTTGGGATTTGGGGATTTGGGGATTTGGAGATTTGGAGATTTGGGGTTTGGGGATTGGGGATTTGGGATTTGGGGATTTGGGGTTTGGGGATTTGGGGTTTGGGGATTTGGGGTTTGGGGATTTGGGATTTGGGGACACGGGAATTTGGGGATTTTGGGATTTGGGATTTGGGGATTTGGGGATTTGGGGATTTGGGGATTTGGGATTTGGGGATTTCGGATTTGGGGATTTGGGGATTTGGGGATTTGGGGTTTGGGGATTTGGGATTTGGGGATTTGGGGGTTTGGGGATTGGGGATTTGAAATGAACCCCCAAAGCGAACCCCCAGCCCCTCAAAACCAGACCCCAAAAGGAGCCCCCAGCACCCCAAAAATGACCCCAAAACGAACCCCATAGCACCCCAAAACAAATTCCCCCAGAAGCCTTAAAATGAGCTCAGGACCCCAAAAGGAAACCCCCAGAACCCTAAAACGAACACCCCAAAATGAAATCACCCCGGACCCCAAAAATGAACCCCAAACACCCCAAAAGGAGCCCCCCAGGACCCCAAAAATGACCCCAAAAGGTGCACCCCAACACTGCAAAATGAGCCCCCCAAAAGCCCTAAAATGAACCCCTTGGACCCCAAAACGAGACCCTAAAATGAGCACCCCAAAACCCCAAAAACGAAACCCCCGTGCACCCCAAAATGAGCTCAGGACCCCAAAAGGAGTCCCCAGCACCCCAAAAAGAACCCCCGACCCCAAAACCCCCAAACCTCTCCCGGTCCAGCCCGGGGGCGTTTTTGGGGTCCCTCAGTGGTTTTTGGGGTCCCTACACATTTTGGGGGGGGGTCCCTCTGCGTTTTGGGGTCTCTGTGGGGTTTTGGGGGTCCCTGCCGTGTTTTGGGGTCCCCCCGCCCATTTTAGGGTCCCCCCGCCAATTTTAGGGTCCTCCCGCCCATTTTAGGGTCCCCCTGCCCATTTTAGGGTCCCCCCCACCCTTTTGGGAGCCTCCCGCCCATTTTGGGGTCCCCCGCCACATTTTAGGGTCCCCCCTTCCCTTTTGGCGTCCTCCCGCCAATTTTGGGGTCCTCCCGCCCATTATAGGGTCCCCCTGCCCATTTTGGGGTCCCCCTGCCAATTTTGGGCTCCCCCCTCCCATTTTAGGGTCCCCCGCCCATGTTAGGGTCCTCCCGCCCATTTTGGGGTCCCCCCGCAGAATTTTGGGGTCCCCCGCAGAATTTTGGTGTCCCCTCTTCCCTTTTAGGGTCCCCCTGCCCATTTTAGGGTCCCCTGCCCATTTTGGGGTCCCCCCGCCAATTTTGGGGTCCTCCCGCCCATTTTAGGGTCCCCCTGCCCATTTTAGGGTCCCCCTGCCAATTTTGGGGTCCCCCTGCCCATTTTAGGGTCCCCCCTTCCATTTTAGGGTTCCCCCGCCCATTTTAGGGCCCCCCCGCTACATTTTGGGGTCCTCCCACCAATTTTGGGGTCCCCCCACGCATTTTAGCGCCCCCCTGCCCATTTTGGGGTCCCCCGCAGCATTTTGGGGTCCCCTCTTCTCTTTTGGGGTCCCCCCGCCCTTGGGCCCCCATTTGGCCGCTGGAGTCCTCCACGCCGCCAGGGGGCGCTGTGCCGGTCCCCCCACGTCTCGCTGGTTCCGGTTCCTCATCTCTCTGGTTCCGGTGTCGCATCTCGTTGGTTCCGGTGCCGCATCTCTCTGGTTCCGGTGCCGCGTCTCGTTGGTTCCGGTGCCGCGTCTCGCTGGTTCCGCGGGGCACCGGGAGCGGCACCGGGAGCGGCCCCGGGAGCGGCCCCGGCGCGGCACCGGGAGCGGCCCCGCCATGTGGTTCATGTACGTGCTGAGCTGGCTGTCCCTGCTGCTGCAGGTGGCCTTTGTCACCTTGGCCATCGGTGAGAGCGGGAAGGGCCGGGCCTGGCGCGGTGTGGCGGGGGAGGGGAACCGGGGGGGACCCGGTGGCACCGAGCGCGCGGAGTGTCCCCAACTCTGCGGGGCCCTGCGTGTCCCCAAGGGCTCCGAGTGTCCCCAAATTTGGGGGTCCTTGAGTGTCCCCAAACCCTCAGAGTGTCCCCAAATTTGGGGTCCCTGAGTGTCCCCAAACCCTCAGAGTGTCCCCAAATTTGGGGGTCTTTGAGTGTCCCCAAACCCTCAGAGTGTCCCCAAATTTGGGGGTCTTTGAGTGTCCCCAAGCCCTTAAATTGTCCCCAAGTTTTGGGGTCCCTGAGTGTCCCCGAACCTTTCCAGTGTCCCCAAGTTTTGGGGTCTCTGAGTGTCCCCAAACCCTCAAACTGTCCCCAAGATTTGGCGTCTCTGCGTGTCCCCAAACCCTCAGAGTGTCCCCAAATTTGGGGGTCTTTGAGTGTCCCGAAGCCCTTAAATTGTCCCCAGGTTTTGGGGTCCCTGAGTGTCCCCAAACCCTCAGAGTGTCCCCAAGTTTTGGGGTCCTTGAGTGTCCCCAAACCCTTAAAATGTCCCAAATATTTGGGGTCTCTTGGTGTCCCACATGGGCTCAGAGTGACTCTGAGATTTGGGGTCCCTGAGTGTCCCAAACCCTCAAACTGTCCCCAAGATTTGGGGATCTCTGGGTGTCACCAATCCAAGTGTCCCCAAGTTTTGGGGTTTTGAGTGTCCCCAATCCCTCAGAGTGTCCCTGAGTGTCCCCAAGCCCTTAAAATGTCCCCAAGATTTGGAGTCTCTGGGTGTCCCCAAACCCCTCAGGGGTGTCCCCATGGTGCCAGCGTGTCCCCATGGTGCCATTGTGTCCCCACTGTCCCCACAGCGGCCGGCCTCTATTACCTGGCGGAGCTGATCGAGGAGTACACGGTGGCCACCAGGAGAGTCATCAAATCCATGATCTGGGTGAGACCCCAAATCCCAAATCCCCGAAATCCCAAATCCCTGAAACCCCAAACCCCAAATCCCTGAATTCCCAAATCCTGAAACCCCAAATCCCTGAAATCCCAAACATTGAAATCCCAAATCTCCAAACCCCAAAGCCCTGAAACCCCAAATCCTGAAATCCCAAATCTCCAAACCCCAAACTCTTGAAACCCCAAATCCCCAAACCCCAAAATCCCAAACTCCAAATCCCAAATCGCAGAAACCCCAAAGCACCAAAACTCCAAATCCCTGAAACCCCAAATGCTGAAACCACAAACACTGAAACACCAAACCCCGAAATCCCAAATCCTGGGAATCCCCAAATCCGGAAATCCCAAATCCCTGAAATCCCAAATCCTGGGAATCCCCAAATCCGGAAATCCCAAATCCATTCCGAAACCCCAAATCCCTGAAACTCCAAATCCTGAAAGCCCAAAATTCCAAAACCCCAAATCCCCGAAACACCAAATCCCGAAAACCCAAATCCTGGGAACACCAAATCCCCAAACCCCAAATCGCTAAACCCACAAACACTGAAACCCCAAATCCCGAAACCCCAAATACCTAAATCCCAGAAACCCCAAATCCCAAAATTCCAAATCCCTGAAACACCAAATCCTGAAACCCCAAATCCCTGAAACCCCAAACCCCGAAATCCCAAATCCTGGGAATCCCCAAACACTGAAACCACAAATCCCGAATCCCCAAATCCCTGAAATCCCAAATCCCCAAACCCCAAATCCTGAAACCCCAAATCCCCCCAAACCCCAGAGCCCTGAACCCCCAAATCCCTAAACCCCAAATCCCAAAACCACAAACACTGAAACCCCAAACCCCAAAATCCCAAATCCTGGGAATCCTCAAATCCTGAAACCCCAATCCCTGAAATCCCAAGTCCCCGAAATCCCAAATCCCCAAACCCCAAATCCCTGAAATCCCAAATCTGGAAACCCCAAATCCCAGAAACCCCAAATTCCCATTCCCCCTGTTGTTCCCCATTTATTTCCCTTTTCCCCCATTTATTCCATTCCCCCGTTTTCCCTTATTTCCCCTCCTTTTCTCCCCCATTTCCCCCATTTATCCCCTTTTCTCACCCATTTTCCCCTTTTATCCCCATTTTCTCCCCAATTCCCCCCACTTTCACCCCATTTCCCCCCACTTTCACCCCATTTCCCCCACTTTTACCCTCATTTCCCCCCCTTTACCCAAATTTCCCCCACTTTTACCCAATTTCCCCGCACTTTTACCCCATTTCCCCCACTTTTACCCCCATTTCCCCCACACTTTTACCCCAATTTCCCCCCACATTTACTCCATTTCCTCCCTTTTACCCCAATTTCCCCCCACATTTACCGCAACTTCCCCAAACTTTTACCCCAATTTCCCCCACATTTTACCCCAATTTCCCCCCTTGTACCCCATTTCCCCCCCTTTTACCCTCATTTCCCCCCACATTTACCCCAATTTCCCCAAACTTTCACCCAATTTCCCCAAACTTTCACCCCATTCCCCCCACATTTACCCCAATTTCCCCAAACTTTTACCCCAATTTCCCCAAACTTTCACCCAATTTCCCCAAACTTTCACCTAATTTCCCCCACTTTTACCCCATTCCCCTCACTTTTATTCCAATTTCCCCCACTTTTACCCCAATTTCCTCCCACTTTTACCCTATTTCCACAACATTTACCCCTATTTCCCTCCACTTTTACCTCAATTTCCCCCCTTTTACCCTGATTTACCCCAATATTCCTCCACTTTTTCCCCATTTCCCCCCACATTTACCCCAATTTCCCCCCACATTTACCACAACTTCCCCAAACTTTTACCCCAATTTCCCCCCACTTTTACCCAATTTCCCCCCCTTTTACCCCAATTTTCCCCCACATTTACCCCAATTCCCCCCACTTTTACCTGATTTTCTCAAACTTGTACCCCATTTCCCCCCTTTTACCCCAATTTCCCCTCACTTTTCCCCCATTTTCCCCTCACTTTTACCCCATTCCTCCCACTTTTACCCCCATTTCCCCCTTTTTCCCCAATTTTCCCCCACTTTTACCCTAATTTCCCCTGACATTTACCCCAATTTCCCCTCTTTTACCCCATTTCTCCCCCTTTTACCCCATTTCTCCCCTTTTACCCCAATTTCCCCCCACTTTTACCCCATTCCCCCCCCTTTTACCCCATTTCCCCAAACTTTTACCCCATTTCCCCCCTTTTACCCCATTTCCTCCCCTTTTACCCCAATTTCCCCCCACTTTTACCCAAATTTCCCCCCACATTTACCCCATTTCCCCCCTTTTACCCCAATTTCCCCCCACTTTTACCCCATTTCCCCGCACTTTTACCCTAATTTCCACCCACTTACTCTGATTTCCTCCCGTTTACCCTCATTCCCCCCCTTTTACCCCATTTCCCCCACTTTTACCCAATTTCCCCAAGCTTTTACCCCAATTTCCCCCCACATTTACCACAATTTCCCCCTCTTTTACCCATTTTCCCCCACTTTTACCCAAATTTCCCCCACATTTACCCCAATATTCCCCCACTTTTACCCCAATTTCTCCCCATTTTTACCCAATTTCCCTCCACTTTTACCCCATTTCCCCCCAATTTTACCCAATTTCCCCCCACATTTACGCCATTTCCCCCACTTTTCCCCCATTTCCCCACTTTTACCCCATTCCCCCACTTTTACCCCATTTCCCCTCACTTTTACCCCATTCCCTTCACTTTTACCCCATTTCCCCCACTTTTACTCCAATTTCCTCCCACTTTTACCCATTTTCCCTGTTTTACCCCATTCCCCCCTTTTACCCCAATTTCCCCCCCCGTTTTACCCCAATTTCTCCCCATTTTTACCCAATTTCCCTCCACTTTTACCCCATTTCCCCCCACTTTTACCCAATTTCCCCAAACTTTTACCCCATTTCCCCCCACTTTTACCCCAATTTTCGCCCACATTTCCCCCGATTTCCCCAAACTTTTACCTCAATTTTCCCCCCTTTTACCTCATTTCTCCCCACTTTTACCCCAAATTCCTCTCACTTTTACCCCATTTCCCCCCACTTTTACCCAATTTCCCCACATTTACCCCATTCCCCCCCTTTCACCCCAAATTCCCCCACTAATCCCATTTCCCATCCCAGTTCTCCTCTGCAGTGCACTTGGGGCTGCTGCTGTTCGAGCATTTCCCGGCGCTGCTGGTGGCCACGGGGCTGTTCAGTAACCTGGTGTACGTGGGGCTGCTGCAGAGCTTCCCCTGCGTCGTGCTGGGCTCCTCCAACTTCCTCCTCTCCTGCGGTCAGAACACGGAATTTGTTGGGAAAAATTCTGGGAAATGATTGGGGATTTTTTGGGATTTTTTTGGGATTTTTTTGGGGAATTTTTGGGGATTTATTTTGATTTTTTTGTGATTTTTTATTGATTTTTTAGGGATTTTTAATTGATTTTTTAGGGATTTTTAATTGATTTTTGGAGGATTTTTTCAGGATTTTTTCAGGATTTTTGGAGAAATTTTTAAGGACTTATTAAGGAAATTTGGGGATTTTTTTGGATTTTTTTGTGGATTTTTTGAGGATTTTAATTGATTTTTTTTTATATTTTCAGGATTTTTTGAGGAGTTTTTGAGAAAATTTTGAGGACTTATTGGGGAATTTTGTGGATTTATTGGGGGATTTTTTGAGGCTTTTTATTGATTTTTAAATTTTTTTTTTATTTTTTGAGGATTTTTTCAAACAAATTAGAGGATTTTTGGAGAAAATTTTGAGGACTTATTGGGGAAATTTGGGGAATTTTTGGGATTTTTTTTGGGATTTTTTTGGGATTTTAATTGATTTTTTAAAATATTTTCAGGATTTTTTGAGGATTTTTTGAGAAAATTTTGAGGACTCATTGGGGAAATTTGGGGGATTTTTTGGGGGATTTTTGGAGGATTTTTATTGATTTTTTTTTATTTTTTCAGGATTTTTTGAGGATTTTTAAAAACAATTTTGAGGATTTTTAGAGAAAATTTTGAGGACTTATTAAGGAAATTTGGGGAATTTTTTTGATTTTTTTGGGGATTTTTTGAGGATTTTAATTGATTTTTTTTAATATTTTCAGGATTTTTTGAGGATTTTTTGAGAAAATTTTGAGAACTTAGTGGGGAAATTTGGGGAATGATTGGGATAGTTTTGAGATTTTTTTGGGATTTTTTTCAGCTATTTTTCAGAAGTTTTTGGGATTTTTAAAAATTAAAATTTTTTTTTTTAATTTTTAGAGGATTTTAAAGGGATTTATTCCAAATTATTTTAGAAATTCTTGGGGATTTTTTTCAGAAGTGTTTAGGAATTCTTGGATAATTTTTGGGGTTTTTTTTCAGTTTTTTTTTTTATTTTTATTTTTAAAAAATTTTTGGGATTTTTTATAGTTTTTTTTCTAATTTTTAGGTATTTCTTGGGGATTTCTTGAAGAACTCCGAGGGAATTATTGGGGAAATTTTGGGGATTTTTTGGGGACTGTTTACAATTTTTGGGGGATTTTTTGAGGATTTTTTTAGGAATTTTTGGAATTTTTTGAGGATTTTTTTGGGGATTTTTTGAGAAAATGTTGGGAAATTATTGGGGGTGTTAGGGGAAATTTTGGGTGAACTTTTTGTGATTTTAAAGGGATGTTTTGAGAATATTTATTGATTTTCTTTTTTATTTTTTCAGGATTTCTTGGGGATTTTTTGAGAAACTTTTTAGAAATTATTGGGAATTTTAGGAGAACTTTTGGGTGAATTTTGGGGATTTTTTGTGGATTTTTTGAGAATTTTTTGGTAAATTATTGGGGATAATAGGGGAAGTTTTGGGTGAATTTTTGGGGGTTTTGGGATTTTTTTGGGATTTGTGGGGGATTTTTTTGGGAAATTTTGAGGGAATTATTGAGGATTTTTTGGGTGAATTTCTGTGATTTTTTGGGATTTTTTATTGATTTTTCTGGGGATTTTTTGACAATTTTCAGGATTTTTTTTGGGATTTCTTGAATATTTTTTGGAGATTTTATGGGGGGATTTTTGGGAGGGCTCCAGTATTTGGGATTTTCCTTCTGGAATGTTCTGATCCCAATTTTTTTCCCGTTTTTCCCTGCAGTTCTGGTCGTGCTCAATCACTACCTGGCCTTCCAATATTTCTCTGAGGAATTTTACCTTTTTTCCGAGGTGAGATCCCAAAAATTCCAGAATTTTCCCCATGGCAAAAATCCCAATTTTTGGGTTGGGAACTGAGAATTTCTTTAAAATAAAAATTACATTTTAAATTTTTAGTTTTTTAAAATTAAATTTCTATTTTTCCCAATTTTTTTGAGGCTTTCTTGAGGTTCTGAAATTCCCTGGCAACTGCAAATTTGGGATTTTCCCCAAAAAATTCCAGGAATGTGGAATTTAATCCAAATTTCTCCCTAAAATGTCAAAAATTTTAGGAATTTTAGGAAAAACAGGAAATAAATCATTGAAATTCCAATTTTTTTAACCAATCTAACCCAAATTTTTTCCTATTGGGAATTCCCATTTCTGAATTTTCTGTTGGAATTTCACGACAAAAATCCCAAGAGGGAAAAATCCAAATTTTCCTGAATTTTTTTTCATTAATTTAATGAATTTTTTCCATGTGGATTTCATTGAATTAATTAAAAATTTTCCTTAAATTAATCCTTAATTAATATTTTAAGTAAAATTTTGGAATTCAAAACCAGGAAGAGCAAAAAAATTGGGAATTTTTTGAGCTCACAAAAAAGGGGTGGGGTGGAATTTTCCCTTAGGAATTATTGGAATTTTGGGAATTTCTGTTGGAATTTTGGGAATTCTGGGTTGGAATTTTGGGATTTTCTGGTTGGAATTTTGGGAATTCTGGGCTGGAAATTTGGGATTTCTGTGCTGGAATTTTGGGGGTTTTGAGTTGGAATTTGGGGGTTTTTGGGTTGGAATTTGGAAATTCCAGTTGGAATTTTGGGGCTTTTTGGGGTTGGAATTTTGGGGCTTTTGTGTTGGAATTTTGGGATTGCCAAGCTGGAATTTTGGGAATTCTGGTTGGAATTTTAGGAATTCTGGTTGGAATTTTGGGGTTTTGGGTTTAGAATTTGGAAATTCCAGTTGGATTTTTGGGCTGGAATTTTGGGGCTTTTTGGGTTGGAATTTTGGGCTTTTCAAGCTGGAATTTTGGGAATTCTGGTTGGAATTTTGGGAATTCCGGTTGGAATTTTGGGATTTTGGGTTTGGAATTTTGGGAATTTTGGCTTCTTTCAAGGAAGAGCAAAAAATTGGTGAACACCTCAAGAAGACTTCTCCCTAAAAAAACATGGGGTGAGATCGACGCTTTTCCTCAGGAATTCTTGGAATTTTGGGGTTTTTGGGTTGGAATGTTGGGATTTCTGAGCTGGAATTTCGGGAATTCCCGTTGGAATGTTGGGAATTCCGCAGGTCCTGGCTTATTTCACCTTCTGCCTGTGGCTGATCCCCTTCGCCTTCTTCGTGTCGCTGTCGGCCGGGGAGAACGTCCTGCCCTGCACCGTGCAGCCCGGAGGTGGGAACGGGGTCGGGATTGGGATTGGGAATTGGGATTGGGAATTGGGGTTGGGAATGGGTGGGAAAGGATTTCGAGCTCCTCCGGTTCCGATCCCGCTCAGAACGTCCCAGAAATTTGGGATTTCTGAGCCCTTGGAGAATCCCAAGGATTGAAAGTCCTGAACTCCACGGTGAAGCCCAGAGGTGGGAATGGGAATTGGGATTGGGAATAGGATTGGGAATGAGATTGGGATGGGATTGGGAATGGGGTCAGGAATGGGGTTGGCTGGGAAAGGATTTCGAGCTACTCCGGTTCCGATCCCACTCAGAACGTCTGAGAAATTTGGGATTTTTGGACCTATCAAGAGTGACAATGTCATGGAAATTTGGGATTTTTGGGGTCTTTGAGCCCTTAGAGAATCCCAGAAATTTGGGGCCTTTGAGCCTTCAGAGAATCCCAGAAATTTGGGATTCTGGGGGAATCCCTGAGCCCTTGGAGAATCCCAAGGATTGAACATCCCGAACTCCACGGTGAAGCCCAGAGGTGGGAATGGGAATTGGGATTGGGAATAGGATTGGGAATGAGACTGGGATGGGATTGGGAATGGGGTCAGGAATGGGATTGGGATTGGGAATGGGATTGGGAATGGGGTCAGGAATGGGGTTGGGTGGGAAAAGATTTTGAGCTCCTCCGGTTCCAATCCCACTCAGAACATCCCAGAAATTTGGGATTTTTGGGGTCCCCAAAGGTTTAAAAAATCCCAGGGATTGGGAGTCCCAAAGGCCCAGAAATCTGGGATTTTTGGGGTCCCCAAAGGCTCAGAAATTTGGGATTTTCGGGGGTCATCAAGGGCTTGGAATGTCTGAGAAATGTGTCTCTGAACCCTTGGAGAATCCCAGAAATTTGGGATTTTTGGGGGCATCAAGGGTCAGAATATCCTGGAAATTGGGGGTCCCAAAGGCCCAGAGAATCCCAAAAATTTGGGATTCCTGGGACTTCATAAAGGCTCAGAATGCCCCAGAAATTTGGGATCCTTGGGGCTTCCCGAGGGCTCAGAATGTCCCAAAAATTTGGGATTCTTGAAGGTCACCAAGGATTCAGAGTCTCCCAGAAATTTGGGATTTTTGGGAGTCACCAAGGCATCAGAGTGTCCCAAAAATTTGGGATTTTTGGGCTCCGAATATCCCAAAAACTGGAGATCCCAAAGGCTCAAAGAATCCCAAAAATTTGGGATTTTTGGGCTCCAAAATCTACGAGAATTCCATGGATTTTTGGGTTCCCCAAAACCCCAATCCCTCATTCCCAGTGCAATCCAGGAGCGTCCACAACTTTGGGAATTCCACCCCAAAATCCCCAAAAATCCCCAAAAAATCCCCAAAATTCCGACCCCGTTCCCGGTTTTCCGCAGATGACGTCGTCTCCAATTATTTCACCAAGGGGAAACGAGGGAAGCGCTCCGGGATCCTCCTGATTTTCTCCTTTCTCAAGGAAGCCATCCTGCCCAGCAGGCAGAAAATTTACTGAAATTCCAGAAGTTTTGGGAATTTTTGGGAATATCCAGAAGATCCCCAGCCGGAAGATCCCAAATTTTTGCCTCTTTCCGACGGGAATTCTTTGGGAATTCAGAGACTTGGACACTCCTGGAGGTGCCGACCACGTTTGGGGTTTTTCCTGCTGATTCCTTGGGAATGTTTCCGTGGAAAATGTTGGGAATTTTGGGAATTTCCCAATTCCCTGCGGGTTTTTATTTTTTTTTTTGGAGCTGCTCCTGGATTTTCCTGAGGGTTGCACAGAGCCAGGAATTAAAAAAAAAATGGGGAAAATTGGGATAAATCCAGAGGATTCCACGCTGTTCCTTCATCCCGTTTTTCCAGAGGGAATGATCCCAAAAAAAAAAAAAAAAAAAAAAATCAGGATTTGGGCAGTTGAAATCCTGGAAATTCCCATTTTTCCCTCCAGCAAAACCTTGGGAAGGAGTTGATGGAAAGGGATTTTCCGTGGGAATTTTGCTTTTCCAGGGAATTCCTGCAGATGAGGGGGGAATGTTGAGAATTCCCAGATTTTTCCTTCCTCCTTTTCCAAAGGGTGAAAATCCTCCGAGGGAGCCGCAAATTTTTTCTTTCCCTTGAGAAAATTCCTGTTTTTTTCCGGATTTTTTCATTCCCACCCCAGCCAGGCTTGGGAATTCCTGATCCAGAGGATTTTTTCCAGGAATTCCCCAAAAAAATTCCTTTGGAAAAGTTGGAATTTTGTTCCAAGAACTCTTGGATTGGGTTTGTTTTTTTTTTTTTTTTTTTTAATTTTTATTTTTTCCTTCTGGATTTCCTGGAAAATTCCAGGATGGGAATGAGGAAAATCAGGAATTCCTGATTCCTTTGAATCCCGATTTTCCTGGGAATTTTTCCAGCTGTTTTTCCATATTTTTCTAGCCTGGATTTCCAGGAGCTGAATCAGATTTTAAGTAAATTGTGGAATTCCATCAATATTTAACCAGGAAAAGGAAATTCGGGATGAAACCCCCAGAAATTTGGAAAAACATTCCCAGAAACACCGGGAATGTGGGAAATTTATGAATAAAGTGGAAAAATCCTGGATTTTCCTTGGGGTTTTGAGGGTTTTTTTTTTTGGGATTGGGATTTTTTTAGGGATCCCTGGAAGTGTCCAAGGCCAGGTTGGAGCTGGGATTGTGGAATTTGGGTGGAATTTTGCCACGGGAATTCCGGGATTTTTGGGGGGAATTCATGGATTCAGATCCCGTGGAAATTTCCTGGATCCGGAAAAGTCAGGAAAAGGAAATTCCCAGGCTCTGGAATTTTCCTGGAAGCAGCAGGGAGAGCCCAAAAAAAGCTGGATTTGGAAAAATCCGGGAAAAAACTCCCAAGATTTGAAGAAATCACAGGAAAAGCTCCTGGAAAGTTCCAGGATTTGCAAAAATCTGGGAAGAAACTCCAGGAATTGGAGAAATCTGGGAAAAAGCTCCAAGAAAGTTCCAGGATTTGAAGAAATTCAGGAAAAATCTCCAGGAAAGTTTCAGGATTTGGGAGAAATCCAGGAAAAAACTCCAGGATTTGGAGAAATCTGGGAAAAATCTCCAGGAAAGTTTCAAGAATTGGAGAAATCTGGGAAGAAACTCCAGGAATTTGAGAAATCCAGGAAAAGCTACTGGGAAATTGTGGGATTTGGGAGAAATCCAGGAAAAAAACTCCAGGATTTGGGAAAACTCTTGGAAAAAGCTCCAGGAAATTTCCAGGAATTGGAAAAATCTGGGAAAATTTCCCGCTCCTTTTCCAGCAGGAATTTCCCTTTTCCAGGTATTTTTTGGACCTCTCCTTCCCAGTTTTCCTCCTGGAAAATCTGCAGGGAAAAGGAGCAGGAATTGAGGGAAATTTGGGAAAAATCCCTCCCAGCCTTAAATTTTTGAATTCCAGCTGGAGGAGGAGGGAAAAAAAATCGGGATAAAAACAAATCCGTGAAAATTCCCGGGGAATGGAGAATTTGGGATTCCTGGGAAAGCAGCTTTGGAATGCGGGGAATAATTCCAGTTTTTCACAAATCCAAGGGAAATAAAAATTTTATTTGGATGTTGTAGGAAAGGAGGAGCTGCCAGAGGTTCTGTGGGATTTTGGGGAAGGAATTCCCGAATTTTGGGGAATTTGGGAAAGTGTGTGTGGAACTCCAGGGGATCCCGTTTTTCCAGGGGTTCCCAGGAGGGGGGGGAAATTCTGGGAATTGAGAGGGGGAAATTCTGGGAATTCAGGGTGGGAAATTCTGGGAAAAACTTGGGAAAAAGGGGTGGAAAATTTTGGGAACTGAGGGTGGGAAATTCTGGGAAAATCTTTGGGAAAAGGGGTGGAAAATTTTGGGAATTGAGAGTGGGAAATTCTGGGAAAATCTTGGGAAAAAGGGGTGGAAAATTTCGGGAATTGAGTGTAGAAAATCTTGGGAAAGGAGGGTGGGAAATTCTGGGAATTCAGGGTGGAATAATCTGGGAAAATATTGGGGAAAAGGGGTGGAAAACTCTGGGAATTGAGGGTGGGAAATTCTGGAAAAATCTTGGGAAAGGAGGGTGGGAAATTTTGGGAATTGAGAGTGGGAAATTCTGGGAAAATCTTTGGGAAAAAGGGGTGGAAAATTTTGGGAATCGAGTGTAGAAAATCTTGGGAAAGGAGGGTGGGAAATTCTGGGAATTCAGGGTGGGAAAATCTGGGAAAATATTGGGGAAAGGAGGGTGGGAAATTTTGGGAATTGAGGGTGGGAAAATCTTGTGAAAAAGGGGTGGAAAATCCTGGAAATAAGGGTGGGAAATACCCTCAGATTTGATAGTGGGAAATCCCAGGAATTGTGGATGGAAAATCTTGGGAAAGGAGGGTGGGAAATTCTGGGAATTGAGGGTGGAAAATCCTGGAAATAAAGGTGGGAAAATCTGGGATTTGATGGTGGGGAATCCCAGGAATTGTGGGTGGAAAATCCTGGAAATAAGGGCGGAAATCCCGGGAAAGGAGGTTGGAAAATCTTGGGAAATGAGGGCGGGAATTCCTGGAAAAATCTTGGGAAAAAAGGGGAGGAAAATCTTGGGAAAGGAGGCAGAAAAGTCCCAGGAAATCCCAGGAAATGAGTCAGGAAAATCCTGGGAATTTGAGGGCAGGAAAATTCTGGGAAAGGAGGGTGGAAGATCTTGGGAATAAAGGGTAGAAAACCCTGGGAAAATGGTGGAAAATCCTGGGAAAGGAGGTCGGAAAATCTTGGGAAATGAGAGCAGGAAATCCCGGAAAAATCTTGGGGAAAAAGGGGAGGAGAATCCCAGGAAAGGAGGCAGGAAAATCCCAGGAATTGAGAGTGGGAAATTTTTGGGAAATGAATCAGGAAAATCCCAGGAAAGGAAGCAGGAAAATCCTGGGAACGGAGGACGGGAAATGCCAGGAATTGAGGGTGGGAAATCTTGGGAAAAAAAGGGTGGAAAACCCTGGAAATGGAAGGTGGGAAATTCTTGGGAAATGAGTCAGGAAAATCCTGGGAATTTGAGGGTGGAAAATTCTGGGAAAGGAGGGCGGGAATTCCCGGGAAATGAGGGTGGGAATTCCCGGGAAGTGGCTCCTAGACCTTGTCCCCGCTGTCCCCAGCCCAGCGGGGACGGGGACGTGTCCTGGGAAGGCCACCAAGGCCCCGGGGCCGGAAGGGGACCTTGGCCAGCTCCTGCTCCTTTTCCATGTCCTTTTCCATGTCCTTTTCCATGTCCTTTTCCGTGTCCTGGCGGCGGTTTCCTGGGAAAAGCCGTGACAGGGATGGGACAGGGAGGGGACAGGAGGTGGCAGCTGCCGGTGTCACCTCCGCGCCCTCCCCGGCAACGTACCCGCGGCCGGCTCCTTCCCAGTTCCATCCCAAACTCCTGTGGAATTCCTGGTGGGATCGGTGCCCGTGGAGTCGGTGCTCATGGAATTTTCCACGGAATTGATGCTCATGGAATTCCTCGTGGGATTGGCGCCCGTGGAATCGGTGCCCGTGGAATTCCCCATGGAATTGGTGCATTTGGAATGGTTCTCCATGGAATTGGTGCTCATGGAATTCCCCATGGATTTGGTGCATTTGGAATGGTTCCCCATGGAATTGGTGCCCGTGGAATCAGTGCTCATGGAATTTCCCATAGAATTCCCCACGGAATTGGTACCCATGGAATTTCCCATGGAATTGGTGCCCTTGGATTTGGTGCCCATGGAATTGGTGCCCTTGGAATGGTTTCCCATGGAATTCTCCATGGACTGGTTTCCCATGGAATTTCCCGTGGAATTGGTGCCCTTGGAATTGGTGCCTGTGGAATTGGGGCACGTGGAATTGGTGCTTATGGAACTTCCCATGGAATTCCCAATGGAATTGGTGCCCTTGGAATGGTTCCCCATGGAATTGGCCACCATGGGATTCCCCATGGATTTGGTGCCCATGGAATTGGTGCTCATGGACTTCGCCATGGAGTTCCCCATGGAATCTCCCATGGAGTTCCTCATGGAATTCCCCATGGAATCCCCCATGGAATCCCCCATGGAATTCCCCATGGAATTGGTGCCCTTGGAATGGTTCCCCATGGATTTGGTGCCCATGGAATTCCCCATGGAACTGGTGCTCATGGATTTCCCCATAGAGCTCCCCATGGAGTTCCCCATGAAGTTCCCCATGAAGCTCCCCATGGAGTTCCCCATGGAGTTCCCCATGGAATCTCCCATGGAATTCCCCATGGAGCTCCCCATGGAATTCCCCATGGAATCCCCCATGGAATCCCCCATGGAATTCCCCATGGAAGCGTCCAGGGCCCGGCGCCGCCGCTCCAGGACCAATCCCAGCTCCGGGGCCGATCCCGGCTGCTGCTCCCGGCTCCTCCGGCTGCGCCTCCGGCTCGGCCTCCGCAGGGCACCCTGGGACAGCCGCGGTCACCAGGGGGACACCAAAGGGGACACCACGGGGACATCGTTGGGACACCACAGGGACACCAAGGGAACACCAAGAAACACCACGGGGACATCAAGGGACATCGTGGGGACACCAAAGCAATACCAAGAGGGACAGCAAGGAGGACACCATGGGGACAGCATGGGGACATCAAGAAGACATCATTGGGACACTATGGGGACCCCAAAGGGGACATCAAGGGGAGAGTGTGGGGACATCATGGGGACAACATGAGGACACTAAGGGGACATCAAGGGGAGAGTGTGGGGACGCCAAAGGGGACAGCCTGGGGACACCAAGGGGACTCCAAAGGGGACAGTGCAGGGACAGCATGGGGACACAAAGGGGACACCAAGAAGACACCACGGGGACGTCAAGGGACACCATGGGGACACTAAGGGGACAGCAAAGGGGACATCAAGTTGAGAGTGTGGGGACACTAAGGGGACATCAAGGGGGCAGCATAGGGACACCATGGGGACACCAAAGGGGCAGCATGGGGACAGAGTGAGGACACCGAGGGGACACCGAGGGGACAGCGCTGCCCACCAGGATGCCCGCCAGCTCCAGCGCCGCGCTCCGCCTCTTGCTGGCCGTGGAGTCCTGCTGGAAAATCGGGAATGGCTCAATCCCGGGAATTCCGGAGCCCCGCTGTGCCAGCCTGGCCACCCGTTGTCCCCGTTGTCACCTGGCATGGGGGTGGCCGGGCCCTGGCCGGCCGCAGGACGATCCCGCTGCGGATCCGCTCCAGCATCTCCTGCACCGCCCGCGCCCGGATGTCCTCGGTGCCCGTGTCACCTGCCAGGGTGGCACCGCTGTCACCTCCCCTGGCAGTGCCACCCTGTCCCCAGATCACCCCCGATGGAGCTGGGGGACCCCTGGAGCAACCCCTGTCCTGGTGACACTCTGGGGACGCTCCAGATGTCCCCACCACCCTGTCCTGGTGACATTCTGGGGACACTCAGGATGTTCCCACCCCCTTGTCCTGGTGGCATTTTGGAGACACTCCCAATGTCCCCCCGGTGACATTCTGGGGACACTCCCGATGGCCCCTTGGTAACATTTTGGGGACACACCTGATGTCCCCTTGGGGATACTCCCAATGTCCCCACCCCCCTGTCCCAGTGACACTTTGGGGACACTGCCAATGTCCCCTCGGTGACATTCTGGGGACACTCCCGATGTCCCCTTGGGGACACTCTCAATGTCCCCACCCCCCTGTCCTGGTGACACTTTGGGGACACTGCCAATGTCGCCTTGGTGACACTTCAGGGACAATCTCGATGTCCCCCCGGTAACACTCTGGGGACTCTCCTGATGTCCCCTTGGGGACATTCCCAATGTTCCCCCCGGTGACACTCTGGTGACACTCCCGCTGTCCCCTCGGTGACATTCTGGGGACACTCCCGCTGTCCCCTTGGTGACACTTTGGGGACACTCCTGCTGTCCCCTTGGTGACACTTTGGGGACACTCCCCCCCTCAGGACTCACTCTGCTCCCGGTTTTTCCGCGCCTTCCTCTGCCGGAGCGTGGCCAGGGGGCTGCGGGGAGGGGACAGGAGGTGACACCGGAGGGGACAGGAGATGACACCTCCCATCTGCCACCCTGTCCCCTCCCCTCTGGGGGACAGCCAGGGTGGGGACGGCGCTTTTCCAGGAATATTCCGGAAGGTTGGCGGTGGGATGTGTCACCTACTCGGCGGGGGCGGCGGTGGCAGCGGGTGGTGGCAGCGGTGGCGCCGGTGGCACCTCGGGGTGGCTCGGGGGTGGCGGCCGCTGCGCCAGCTGCTCCCGGAGGGATCCCGCTGGAATGAGGCCGGGATGGGTTGAGGATCCCTCTGGAACTTTCTGGAATCACCCCCGGAATTCTCCGGAATCGTCGGAAATTCCCCCCGGAAACTCCTCGGAATCATCTGGAATTCCCCTGGAATTCTTTGGAATCCCCCTGGAATTTTTTGGAATCCCCCTGGAATTCCTCTGGAATTCTTTGGAATCCTTTGGCAACCCGCTGGAATTCCTCTGGAATTCTTTGGAATCCCCCTGGAATTCCTCCTTTGGTAACCCTCTGGAATTCTTTTGAAATCCCCCTGGAATCCCTCTGGAATTCTTTTGAAATCCCCCTGGAATCCCTCAGGAATTCTTTTGAAATCCCCCTGGAATCCCCTGGAATTCCCCTGGAATTTTCCCCTGGAATTCTCTGGAATCCTTCTGGAATCTTCTGGAAACCCTCTGGAAACCCTCTGGAATTATCTGGAGTTCCATTGGAATCCCACCAAGAATCCCTCTGGAATCCTTCTGGAATTCTCTGGATTTCTTTGGAATTTGTCTGGGATTCTTTGGAATCCCTCTGGAATCCCCCGGAACCCTCTGGAATTCTTTGGATTAAGTCTGGAATCTTCTGGAATCCTGCTGGAATCCTCTAAAATCCCCCTGGCATTTTTTTTAATCCCCATGGAATCCCCTGGATCCCTCTGGAATTCTCTGGAATCCTTCTGGAATTTTCCTGAATTCCCCTGGAATTCTTTGGAATACACATGGAATTTTCCTGGAATCCTCTGGAATTCTTCTAGAATCCTCTAAAATCCCTCTGGAATACTTTGAAATCTGTCTGGAATATTCTGGAATCCCTCTGGAATCTCTAAAACCCCCATGGAATTAAAAAAAATTTCTCTGGAACCCTCTGGAATTTTTGGAATGTCCCGGAACCCGCTGGAATTCCATGTGGAAATTCCCACCTTCCTTCTCCAGCTCTTCCAGCCTCTCCATCAGCTCCCGCTTCTCCTCCCGTGCCCGCCGCAGCTCCTCCCGCTCCTGCTCCAGCTCCTTCTCCTGTGGGAATTCTGGGATTTGGGAAAAACCCCAAGAACGGCGACGCTCCCTGACCCTAAAATCGGGAATTTAGGGAAAAACTCCTGGCGGGTTTTAGGGAAAATCGCCCCTCGCTGTGGGATGGTGGGAATTCCGTGGAGGGAAATCAAAGAGGGAAATTCACGTTGGGAAATCCATGGATGAAAATCCATGGTGGGAAATCCATGGTGGGAAATCCATGGATGGAATTCCGTGGAAGAAAATCCATGGAGGGAAATCCGTGGTGGGAATCCATGGAGAGAAATCCATGGGGGAAAATTCATGGTGGGAAATCCATGGATGGAATTCCGTGGAAGAAAATCCATGGAGGGAAATCCATGGAGGGAATTCCATGGATGGAAATCCAAGGTGGGAATTCCATGGAGGGAAATCCATGGAGGGAAATCCATGGATGGAAATCCATGGTGGGAAATCCATGGTTGGAATTCCATGAGAGGAAATCCATGGAGGGAAATCCATGGATGGAAATCCAAGGTGAGAATTCTAAGGTGGAATTCCAAGGTGGGAAATCCATGGTGGGAAATCCATGGATGGAATTCCGTGGAAGAAAATCCATGAAGGGAAATCATGGATGGAAATCCATGGTGGAAATCCAAGGTGAGAATTCCATGGTGGAATTCCAAGGTGGGAAATCCATGGTGGGAATTCCATAGAGAGAAATCCATGGGGGGAAATCCATGGTGGGAAATCCATGGTTGGAATTCCATGAGAGGAAATCCATGGTGGAAATCACAGAGGGAAATCCATGTGGGAAATCCATGGTGGGAATTCCATGGTGGAAAATCCATGGTGGAAATCACAGAGGGAAATCCATGTGGGAAATCCATGGAAGGAAATCCAAGGTGGGAATTCCATGATGGAAATCCATGGAAGGAAATCCATGGTGGGAAATCCATGGTGAGAATTCCATGGTGGAAATCCAAGGTGAGAATTCCAAGGTGGAAAATCCATGGAGGGAAATCCATGGTGGGAAATCCATGTGGGAAATCCATGGAGGGAATTCCATGGATGGAAATCCAAGGTGGGAATTCCAAGGTGGGAATTCCAAGGTGAGAATTCCAAGGTGAGAATTCCAAGGTGGGAATTCCATGCTAGGAAATCATGGAAAGAAATCCATGCTGACAAATCCATGGAGGGAAATCCATGCGGGAATTCCATGTGGGAAATCCATGGAGGGAAATCCATGGTGGGAATTCCATGGAGGGAAATCCATGGTGGGAAATCCATGGTGGGAAGTCCATGGTGGGAAATCCATGGTGGGAAATCCATGGTGGGAAATCCATGGATGGAAATCCAAGGTGGGAAGTCCATGGTGGGACATCCATGGATGGAAATCCAAGGTGGGAAGTCCATGGTGGGAAATCCATGGAATAGCAGCGCTCCATAGAAAAATGGGAATCGAGGGATGTGACCTGAAGGTGCTGTCCCCTCCCAGCGATGTCCCCAAGTTTGGGGACAGTCCCTCACCTGCTGGCGCAGTTCCCGCCGTGTCTCCTCCAGCTCCTGGCCGAGTTTTTCCAGTTCCTGGAGCGCTTCCAGGAGTTGGGAATCGGGCGCGGCGCTCCTCAGCAGGATGCAGCTCTGGCGCTTCGCCTCCTTCTGCTGGACCAGCATCTGGGAGCGCGGGTGTCACCTCGGTGTCACCTCGGTGTCACCTCAGTGTCACCTTCCAGAGGGGCTGGCGGTGAATCCCACCCGGCTCCATCCCGGGAAAATCCTGGGGTGAATCCCGCTCCCTTGGGATCACCCCCTTCCCTTGGGATGGGTGCCAGAAGTGCTGGTAGACCCCATTGTCACCTCCGTGCCACCCCCAGTGGTGTCCCCAACCCCTCGGTGTCACCTTCTAGAGGAGCTGGTGGCTCCATCCCAGGAAACCACAACGGGAGGATCCTGGGATGATCCCATTCCCTTGGGATTGCCCCATTCCCTTGGGATTGCCCCATTCCCTTGGGATGACCCCATTCCCTCGGGATGGGTGCCAGGGGTGCTGACACACCCCATTGTCACCTCCGTGCCACCCCCAGCGGTGTCCCCAAGGCCTTGGTGGCACCTGGTGGGCGAAGGCCTCGGCGTGGCAGCGCAGGTCCTGCTCCAGCTCCAGCTGCTCCAGGGCCTGGCAGTAATCCTGGGTGACAATCTGGGACACTGCGGGGACAGCGCGGTGGCACCGGGGACGGCGGGAAAAGGGTGGGAAATGGGGGAAAAAAGGGTGGGAAAAAGGTGGGAAATGGGGGAGGAAAAGGTGGGAAAAGGGGGCAGGGAAAGGTGGGAAAATGGAAGAAAAGGATGGAAAATATTTGGGAAATGGGAGGGAAAAGGGTGGGAAAAAGGTGGGAAATTGGGGAGGGAAAAGGTGGGAAAAGTGTGGAGGAAAAGGTGGGAAAATGGAAGTGAAGGATGGAAAAGATTTGGGAAATGGGAGGGAAAGGGGTGGGGAAAAAATGGGAAATTGGGGAGGAAAAGGTGGGAAAATGGGGAAGAAAGGGGGGGAAATGGGAAAAAAGAGGAAAAAAGGGAAAAAAAGGGGAAAAAAGGGGGGAGGGAAAAGGGGGAAAAGGGGGCAGGGAAAGGTGGGAAAAGGGAAGAAAAGGATGGAAAATATTTGGGAAATGGGAGGGAAAGGGGTGGGGAAAAAATGGGAAATCGGGGAGGAAAAGGTGGGAAAATGGGGAAGAAAGGGGGGGAAAAAGGGGAAAAACGGGGGGAAAAAAGGGGAAAAAAGGGGAAAAAAGGGGAAAAAAGGGGAAAAAAGGGGAAAAAAGGGGAAAAAAGGGGGGAGGGAAAAGGGGGAAAAGGGGGCAGGGAAAGGTGGGAAAATGGAAGAAAAGGATGGAAAATATTTGGGAAATGGGAGGGAAAGGGTGGGAAAAAGTTGGGAAATTGGAGAGGAAAAGGTGGGAAAATGGGGAAGAAAGGGGGGGAAAAGGGGAAAAAATGGGGAAAAAGGGGAAAAAAGGGGAAAAGGGAAAAAAGGGGGAAAAAGGGGAAAAAAGGGGAAAAAAGGGGGGAGGGAAAAGGGGGAAAAGGGGTCAGGGAAAGGTGGGAAAATGGAAGAAAAGGATGGAAAATATTTGGGAAATGGGAGGGAAAGGGGTGGGGGAAAAATGGGAAATCGGGGAGGAAAAGGTGGGAAAATGGGGAAGAAAGGGGAGGAAATGGGGAAAAAGGGGAAAAAAGGGGGAAAAAGGGGGGAAAAGGGAGAAAAAGGGGGGAAAAAGGGGGAAAAAAGGGGAAAAAAGGGGGGGAAAAGGGGGAAAAAGGGGGAAAAAGGGGGAAAAAAGGGGAAAAAAGGGGAAAAAAGGGGGGAGGGAAAAGGGGGAAAAGGGGCAGGGAAAGGTGGGAAAATGGAAGAAAAGGATGGAAAAGATTTGGGAAATGGGAGGGAAAAGGGTGGGAAAAAGGTGGGAAATTGGGGAGGGGAAAGGTGGGAAAAGTGTGGAGGAAAAGGTGGGAAAATGGAAGTGAAGGATGGAAAAGATTCGGGAAATGGGAGGGAAAGGGGTGGGGGAAAAAAATGGGAAATTGGGGAGGAAAAGGTGGGAAAATGGGGAAGAAAGGGGGGAAAAAGGGGAAAACGGGAAAAAAGGGGAAAAAGGGGAAAAAAGGGGAAAAAGGGGAAAAAAGGGGAAAAAAGGGGGGAGGGAAAAGGGGGAAAAGGGGGCAGGGAAAGGTGGGAAAAGGGAAGAAAAGGATGGAAAATATTTGGGAAATGGGAGGGAAAAGGGTGGGGGAAAAATGGGAAATCAGGGAGGAAAAGGTGGGAAAATGGGGAAGAAAGGGGGGAAAATGGGAAAAAAGAAGAGAAAAAGAGGGAAAAGGGGAGAAAAAAAAGGGGAAAAAGGGGAAAAAAGGGGGAAAAAGGGGAAAAAAATGGGGAAAAAAGGGGAAAAAAGGGGGAAAAAGGGGGAAAAAGGGGGGAAAAGGGGGAAAAAAGGGGGAAAAGGGGGAAAAAAGGGGAAAAAGGGGGAAAAAGGGGGAAAAAGGGGGAAAAAAGGGGAAAAAAGGGGAAAAAAGGGGGGAGGGAAAAGGGGGAAAAGCGGGCAGGGAAAGGTGGGAAAATGGAAGAAAAGGATGGAAAAGATTTGGGAAATGGGAGGGAAAAGTGTGGGGAAAAATGGGAAATCGGCGAGGAAAAGGTGGGAAAATGGGGAAGAAAGGGGGGGAAAAGGGGAAAAAATGGGAAAAAGGGGGGAAAAAGGGGAAAAAGGGGAAAAAAGAGGAAAAAAGGGGAAAAAGAAGGACAAAGGAGGGAAAAGTGGGAAATGAGGGCGATGCCACCACCTGCCCTGGGTGGGGACAGCCACGGGCAGTGCCAGCCGTTGGTTGGGGTGGCACTGGTGGCACTGGTGGCACCAGGAGGGGACACGGGGACACTGCTGACCTCTCTTGAAGGACCTCAGAGCCCTGTGGCTGGTGGCCAGGGCTGCCCGCAGGCGCTGCTGCTCCTCCCGCTCCAGCTCCAGCTGTGCCGGGAAAATCCGGGAAAAAACAGTGAAAAATCCGGGAGAAATCCATTAAAAACCCGCAAAAATCCAGGAGAAAATCAGTGAAAAATCAGTGAGAAATCAATGAAAAACCTGCAAAAATCTGGGAGAAAATCAGTGAAAAATCCATGAGAAATCCATGAAAAACCCGCAAAAATCTGGGAGGAAAATCAGTGAAAAATCCGTGAGAAATCCATGAAAAACCCACAAAAAATCCGTGAAAAATTCGCAAAAAATCTGGGAAGAAATCAGTGAAAATTCTGTGGAAAGTCTGGGAAGAAATCAGTGAAAAATCCGTGGAAAATCCGCAAAGCATCCGCGAAAAATCAGTGAGAGATTCGGGAGAAATCTGGGAGAAAAATCCGTGAAAAATTAGTGAAAAATCTGAAAAAAAACTCTGTGAAAATCTGCAGAAAACCCTTGAAATATCTGTGAAAAAATTGTGAATAATCTGGGAAAAATCCGGGAGAAAGTCCAGGTGAAATCAGAAAAAAATCCGTGAAAAATCCACGAAAAATTTGTGAAAAATCAGAGAAAAAACCCCATGAAAGTCTGCAAAAAAAACCCCAAAAAAACCAAAAAACAAACAAACAAACAAAAAACCCCAAAAAACCCCAAAAAAACCCCCCAAAAACCCACCTGAAAAATCTGTGAAAAATTTTGACTAGTCTGGGAGAAAATCCAGGAAAAATCTGTGAAAAATCCAAGAAAATACCCATAAAAATCTGTGAAGAAAATGTGAAAAATCTATGAAAAATTTGTGAATAATCAGGGAGAAAATCCTGAAGAAAATCTGGGAGAAATCAGAAGAATATCCGGGAGAAATTCCATGACAAACCTGTAAAAATTCTAACAAAAAAACCCATGAAAATCAGCAAAAAATCCGTGAAAAATCTGTAAAAAAAAAGCTGCAAATAATCCGGGAGAAAATCCAGGAGAAATCTGTGAAAAAAATTCATGAAAAATTCAAGAAAAATCTGGGAGAAAATCCAGGAAAAATCAGTGAAAAATCAGTGAAAAATCAGTGAAAAATCAGTGAAAAACCAGTGAAAAATCAGTGAAAAATCCACAAAAAATTAGTGAAAAATCCATGAAAAATCAGGGAAAAATCCCACCCTGAGCCCTGGGACATCATTGGGGGTTTCATCCCAAAATTCCCAAATGGGAATCCCAAATTTGGGAAGAATTCCCAAATGGAAAAGGGGGTTGGGGTCGGTTTTGGGGTACCTGGGCCTGCAGGTGCTGCAGCTGCACCCCGAGGTCCCGGTGCTGTTCCAGGAGCTCGGAGAGATTTTCCTGTGGAGCTGCGGGAAAAGAGGGAATGAGGGAAATGGGAAAAGGGGAAAAAAAGGGGGGAAAAGGGGGAAAAGTGAGAAAAATGGGGGGGAAAATGGGGAGAAAATGAAGAAAAAAGGGGGAAAATGTGGGGAAAATGTGGGGAAATTAGGGAGAAGGGGAGGAAATTGGGAAAAAGGGGGAAAGGGGGAAAAAAGAGGGGGGAAAATGGGGGAAAGGGGGAAAAAGGGGGAAAAATTAGGGAAAAGGGGAGGAAATTGGGAAAAAAGGGGGAAAGGGGGAAAAGGGGTGGAAAAGGGGAGGAAAGGGGGGAAATGGGGGAAAAAGGGGGGAAATGGGGAAAAAGGAGGGAAAATAATGAGGAAAAAGGAGGGAAAATGAGGAAAAAGGAGGGAAAATGAGGAAAAAGGAGGAAAAGGGGAAAGGGAAAAGAGGAAAAGAGCGGAAAGGGAGGAAAAGTGGGTGGGAATTTGGGTGGAAAAAGGTGGGAATGGGGGAATTGAGGGGTGGGAAAATAGGAGGAAAGGGGAAAAAGGGTGGGAAAGGGAGGGAATGAGGGGTGGGAAAGGAGGGAAAAGGGGAAGAAAGGGAAAGAGGGGAAAAGGGAAAAGGGGGGAAAGGGGGAAATGAGAAGTGGGAAAGGAGGAGAAAAAAGTTGGGAAATGGGGGAGGGGAAAGGGGGAATTGAGGGGTTGGAAAAGGGGAGGAAAAGGTGGGAAAGGGGGAAAAAAGGATGGGAAAGGGGGAAAAAAGGGATGGGAAAGGGCAGCACACCCCTCCTGGATCTGGACCCCCCCGGTGACCCCATCCCAGCTGTATCCCCCATATCCCGACTGGAATCTGCCTCTGCTCTGGGATCCATATGGGAATGAAGTGGCACCCCCGGGACCCCCCAAACACCCCCAAGGATCATCCCAGCACTGGGATTGGGGAATTTGGGGTGTCCGAGAGCCGGAAGCGGCACCTTGGGAAAAGGGGATGGGAAAGGGGAAGTGTGAACGGTTTCGGCGCTTGCGGTTGGGTTTCGGTGTCGCTTTTGCTTGGTTTGACCCAAAACGGGGCTCGGGGACGGCCCCAAAGGGCGGTGTGGGGACAGTCTGGGATTTGGGGACAGCGGGGCAGGGATGGGTGGGGTGGGATGGGATAGGATGGGATGGGATGGAACTAGGATGGTTTGGGATGAGCTGAGATTGGGGTTGGGATTGGATGGGATGAGGTGGGATGGAATTGGGATTGGGATTGGGTGGGATGGATGGGATGGGATTGGGATGTCTTGGGATGAGATTGGGGTTGGGATTGGATGGGATGAGGTGGGATGGAATTGGGATTGGGATTGGGTGGGATGGATGGGATGGGATTGGGATGTCTTGGGATGAGATTGGGATTGGGAGTGGATGGGATGAGGTGGGATGGAATTGGGATTGGGATTGATATTGGGATTGTGTGGGATGGATGGGATGGGATTGGATTGGGATTAGAATTAGGATTGGTATAAAGTGGGATGGGATTTGGATTGGGATTGGGCCTGGGTGGGATTGGGATTTGGATTGGAACTGGGATTGGGACTGGGGTGGGATGGATGGGATTGGGATTTGGATTGGGATCGGAGTGGGATGGGATGTAATTGGGGTGATTTGGGATGAAATGGGGTGGGATAAAATGAGATGGGGAGGAAATGCAGTGGGATGGGATTGAGATGGGATGAGATTGGGATTGGGATTGGATGGGATGACATGGGATCGAAATGGGATTTGGATTTGGATTGGGTGGGATGGATGGGATGGGATTGCAATTGGGATTGAGGTGGGATTGGAATTGGGATTGCGACTGGGTGGGATGGATGGGATGGGATTGGGATTTGGATTGGGATGGGATGGAATTGGGAAGATTTGGGATGAAATGGGGTGGGATAAAATGAGATGGGGAGGAAATGCGATGGGATGGAATGGGATTGGGATTGGGATTGGTATTGGGATTGGGATTGGTATTGGTATTGGGATTGGGATTGGGATTGGGATTGGGATTGGAATTGGAATTGGAATTGGAATTGGGATTGGAATTGGGATTGGGTTGGGTTGGGTTGGGATGGGATTGGGATGGATGGGATGGGATGGGACACCTCAGGCTCACCTGGGAGCTGGGCAGGGGCAGGGGGCTCCTCCAGGGCCACCCCTGTGGGTGTCACTTCCTCTGGGGCCACCTCGGGTCTCATCACAGCTGTCACCTCCCCTGGGGTCCCCTCAGGTGTCCTGGCCAGGCTGATCCTCTCCAGCCGCGCGTCCTCCTGCTCCACCAGAATCCCAGAACTGGGGTTCCCCCCGCACCCCCCGAGCTGGGTGTGCCCCGAGGTTGCCCCAGCACCTTTGTCCCCAAAAAGGGACAATTTTGGGGACCTGTCCCCACCCCACCTGGGCACTGAAGGCCTGGGCTCGCTGTTGGCACCGCAGCTCCAGCTCCACCTCGGTGTCCAGCGCCACCAGCTCGGCCAGCAGCGCCTGCGACGCTGCCGGTGACACCAGCGGTGACATCGGGGGTCAGGTGCCACCGGCGTGTCCTGCCCGCGGCCCCCCATGCCCGGAGCCCGGCCAGGGCACCCGGGGATCGGGGCTGGCACCGTGCCAGGCGGGGATTGAACCCTGAGCCTGCGGGGGCCAGGGAGGTGCCGGGGGCATTGGGGACATGGGGGTGGGACACCGGGATGGGACATCGGGATGGGACACCGGGATGGGACAGAGCTCACCTTGCTCCAGCTGGGCCAGCCGAGTCTCGGTGTCATCTGGCACTGGATCCAGGGCCAGGTGCTGCGGTGGGAAAAATGGGAATGAGACGTTGGCTTGGCATGGAATTCCATTGGCACGGAGTTCCATCAACATGGAGTTCCATCGGCATGGCCATGGCAAATGTCACCGTGTTGGCATGGCGTGGCATTGTCATGGCATGGAACGGCCCTTGGGATGGAATTCCATTGGGAATGGCATGACCTCAGGATGGAGTTCCATTGGGATGGAATGGCCCTTGGGATGGAATTCCATTGGGATGGAGTCCCATTGGGATGGAGTTCCATTGGGATGGGGTGGCCCTTGGGATGGAATTCCATTGGGATGGAGTTCCATTGGGATGGAGTTCCATTGGGATGGAATTCCATTGGGATGGAATTCCATTGGGATGGAGTTCCATTGGGATGGGGTGGCCCTTGGGATGGAGTTCCATTGGGATGGAGTTCCATTGGGATGGGGTGGCCCTCAGAGTGGAATTCCATTGGGATGGAGTTCCATTGGGATGGAGTTCCATTGGGATGGGGGGGCCCTCAGGATGGAATTCCACTGGCACGGCGTTCCATTGGAATGATGCTGTTTGGCACTGGCACTGCTTTGGCGCAGAATTCCATCGGCACGGCATTGCACCGGCGTGGAATTCCATTGGCCTGGCACGGGGCACCCCCCCCTTCACCCCCCCTGATTTATGGGATCAGGAACGGGAAATCCGATGGAAAGGGAGCCTGGAAGTGATACCTGTCCAGGGGTGGCCTCTTCATCCTCCTCCTCCTGCTCTTCCTCCTCCTCCTCGCTGCTCCCAGACTCCAGGATGGCTGCGGGGACACCGGGGTGACCGTGGGGGACAGGATGGTCCCGAGCACTCCTGAGTGTCCCCTCAGGATGGGAGGACACACCTCTGGTGTCCCCAAGGTGGGACTGGGGACATCCCTTGTGTCCCTGGCTCTCCCAGAACCATTCCCACAATCCCCGATCCGGTGGGGAACGCGCTCAGGAATCTGAATCCCAACCCCTTTTCCTGGGGCTGGACCCTCTCCCCAGCCAATCCCCCAAATCTGAGGAGGGAAAATCCCCCCCAGACCCAATTTGCTTTCACTCCCTCCAACCCCAAATCTCAACCCCCAAACCCCACTGGTGACCCCCTGAAAACCCCCACGAGTTCCCCCTTACCCGTGAGGTGTCCCCCGATGCCGTCCCCAATCCAGGCCATGCCCAGGGCCCCCTAAAACCCCCGAGATTTTGGGGTGCCTCCCTCTCCCCGGCGCTGCCTCCTGGCTCCCCGCAGGGAAGTGAAACCACCCTCCCCTCCCTCTCCCCTCCCTCCTCCCGAGGGGCCCCGATCCCAACGCGGGGGAAGCGAAACCCGCGGGGGGATGTCGGGATTTTCCACGGGGAGTTTTCCCCTAAAACACAGAATTATGGGATTTCGGGGAGCTGGAACTCGGGGTGGGCTCAGGAGTTGCTGCTCCAGAGGTTCCCAGGGGTGGGAATTCCACAGGCGTGGAAGGAAACATCGGAGCGTGGAAGGGTTTGGGTGACCGCGGTTGTTTATTCATCAATAAAAACAAAGGGATTTTTCCCGATTTTAGGGAAGGGGGGTCCAATTTTGGGAAGGGGGATCCAATTGTGGGAAAGGGGGATCCGATTGTCAGAAAAGAGGATTAATTGTAGGAAAGTGGGATTTGATTGTAGGAAAGGGGGGTCTGATTGTAGGAAAGGGGGATCCGATTGTAGGAAAGGGGATTAATTGTAGGAAAGGGGGATCCCATTGTAGGAAAGGGGGATTCGATTGTAGGAAAAGGGGGATCCCATTGAAGGAAAAGAGGGATTTGATTGTAGGAAAAGGGGGATCCCATTGTAGGAAAGGGGGATTTGATTGTAGGAAAGGGGGATCTGATTGTAGAAAAGGGGGATCCGATTGTAGGAAAGGTGGGAAAGGGGGATCCGATTGTTGGAAAGGGGGATCCGATTGTCAGAAAAGGGGATTTGATTGTCGGAAAGGGGGATCTGATTGTAGGAAAAGGGGGATCCCATTGTAGGAAAGGGGGATTTGATTGTAGGAAAAGGTGGTCTGATTGTAGGAAAGGGGGATCCGATTGTTGGAAAGGGGGATTTGATTGTAGGAAAAGGGGGATCCCATTGTAGGAAAGTGGGATCTGATTGTTGGAAAGGGGGATTTGATTGTAGGAAAAGGGGGATCCCATTGTAGGAAAAGGGGGTCTGATTGTAGGAAAGGGGGATGCGATTGTAGGAAAGGGGGATCCGATTGTAGGAAAAGGGGGATCCGACTGTAGGAAACGGGGGATCCAATTGTCAGAAAAGAGGATTAATTGTAGGAAAGTGGGATTTAATTGTAGGAAAGGGGGATTTGATTGTAGGAAAAGGGGATCAGATTGTAGGAAAAGGGAATCTGATTGTAGGAAAAGGGGGTCTGATTGTAGGAAAAGGGGGATTTGATTGTAGGAAAAGGGGGTCTGATTGTAGGAAAAGGGGGATCCCATTGTAGGAAAAAGGGGATTTGTGGGGATTTGGGGTCACAGGGCCGTGCCCTGCTCGGGTGCCTTGGCCTCGCGGGGGTAGAACTCGGCCAGGATGTTTTCGGGGATGCGCTTGAGGAGCTGCTTGGGGAAGATGCGCAGGAGCTGCCAGCCGATGTCCAGCGACTCGAAAACGCTCCGGTTCTCGTAGGGACCTGCCGGCAGGATGGGGTGGAGGGTTTGGGGGTGTGGGAGAGGCTCTCCCAGATCCCAAATCCCCATTTTGGGGCCGGGGGCTCACCCTGGGAGATGAAGTGCTTCTCGAACTTGTGCAGGAACTCCAGGTAGAGGAGGTCGTCGGCGGACAGGGCCTCCTCGCCCACCACGGCCTTCATGGCCTGCACGTCCTTCCCGATGGCGTAGCAGGCGTACTGTGGGATCCAGGATTCCATAGATGGATCGGGATGGGCACGGACCCCACAGCCCGGCCAGTGCCACCAAGGGACACCTCCCACCAGCCAGGGTGGCTCAAAGATCCATCCCAACCTGGCCTTGGGCACTGCCAGGGATCCAGGGGCAGCCACAGCAAATCTGGGAATTCCAGCCCAGCCAGGAATTCCTTGCCAAGATCCCAGCCCAAGCTCCCCTTTCCCAGTGGGAGCCATTCCCTGGCTCCTGTCCCTCTGTCCCTTGTCCCTCTCCTGAAGCCCCTCCAGGGACTCTGAGCATTCCCTGGATTTTTCCCTTCTCCAGGGGAACATTCCCAGCTCTTCCAGAGCAGAGAGGCTCCAGAATCCTGGAATGGGACCTTAAATCCCATCCCATTCCACCCCACTCGAGGCACACGAGTGTCCTGAGCAGCCCAGCCAACCCCAAAAATTCCAGATGTGCTGGATGCCCTAAACACCCCAAGAACCATGGAAATCCCAGGTGTGCTGAGAATCCGGGGCAATCCAGACACCCCAAACATCCCAAAAAGCTTGGGAACTCTGAGCCTCACCAGACAGGGGGACAGGAGGGTCCCGAAGTGACAAACGCCCCCCACGGGTGTCCCCAAGCCCTCACCAGCTGGTTGGACACATCCCCGTGGTCCTTCCTGGTCATTCCCTCTCCGATGGCCGATTTCATCAGCCGGGACAGGGACGGCAGAACGTTGATGGGGGGGTAAATCTGTGGGGTGAGAGCGACCCCAATGTCCAGCCAGCCCTGGGGGACCCCACCCCTACCCCCATCCCGATGGTTCCCAGCCCCGTTGGGTGCCGGATCCATCCCTGGATCCATCCCTGGAGATGGGAAGGGGTTTGGGAACGAACCTGGCGGTTGTGGAGCTGCCGGTCCACGTAGATCTGACCCTCGGTGATGAACCCCGTCAGGTCGGGGATGGGGTGGGTGATGTCTGGGGTGGGGGGACAAAGGGGTTGTGAGACCCCAAAGTGGGGCTGGCAGCTCAGCTGGACACAGGACACGGCTGTGGCCCATCTGTGGGGTCACCGGGGCGGCGCAGCCCCCACTGGGGTCAGTAAGGGGGGTTTTGGGGTCACCTCCTCATCCTGGAGTTGGGACCCCAAATGGGAGGGGATGGGATAATTGGGATGGCTCAGAGGGGTTTTGGGGTGACCCCCTTGTCCTGGAGTGACCCCAAATGGGAGGGGATGGGGGTGGTTGGGATGTCTCAGAGGGGTTTTGGGGTCACCTCCTCATCCTTGATCCAGGGATCCCAAGTGGGAGGGGATGGAATGGTTGGGATGGCCCAGAGGAGTTTTGGGGTCACTTCCTCGTCCTGGAGTGACCCCAAATGGGAGGGGATGGGATAATTGGGATGGCTCAGAGGGGTTTTGGGGTCACCTCCTCATCCTTGATCCAGGGATCCCAAGTGGGAGGGGATGGAATGGTTGGGATGGCCCAGAGGGGTTTTGGGGTCACTCCCCTGTCCTGGAACTGGGACCCCAAATGGGAGGGGATGGGGGTGGTTGGGATGACCCAGAGGAGTTTTGGGGCCACCTCCTCATCCTGGAGTGACCCCAAACGGGAGGGGATGAGGGTGGTTGAGATGGCTCAGAGGGGTTTTGGGGTCACTTCCCTGTCCTGGAGCCAAGGACCCCAAACAGGAGGTGTTGTTGGGGACACACGGAAATCCCAGACCCTAAATCACCCCAGCAGCATCACCACCCCAGGAGCTCCCCAAAACTGGGCAAAACTGGAGCAATTCGGGATTTCCCATCCTGGAGTGGGAAAATCCCAATCTCCCACGGTGTTCCCGTCCCCTCCCGGTGTTCCCGGTCCCGCTGACCGTCGTTGGGCATGGTGAGGATGGGGATCTGGGTGATGGAGCCGTTCCTGCCCTCCACGCGCCCGGCGCGCTCGTAGATGGTGGCCAGGTCCGTGTACATGTAGCCGGGGAAGCCGCGGCGGCCCGGCACCTCCTCCCTGGCTGCCGACACCTGTGGGGTTGGAGGGGTCAGAGCACCCCAAACACCCCAAAAAAACCACGGGAGGCACGAGGGGCACGAGTTTCCTGAGCAGTCCAGGCAACCCCAAAAATTCCAGATGTGCTGGATGCCCTAAACGCCACAAAAAACTCAAGAATTGTGGAAACCAAAGGTGAGTTGAGAATCCGGGACAATCCAGACACCCCAAAAAGTTTGGAAACCCCAAAGACCCCAAAAACCATGGGAGGCATGAGGCACACGAGTGTTCTGAGCAGCCCAGGCGACCCCAAAAATTCCAGATGTGCTGGGTGCCCCAAAAATATCAAGAACTGTGGAAATCCCAGATATGCTGAGGATCCTGAGCACCCCAAACACTCCAGGCACCCCAAACACCCCAAAACCCATCGCAGGCACAAGGCACATGAGTGCCCTGAGCATTCTGGGCAACCCCAAAAATTCCAGATGTGCTGGGTACCCCAAAAACCCCAAGAAGCCTGGGAATCCCAGATGTGCTGGTACCTCAAACACCCCAGACACCCCAGAAGCCCCAACCACCCCAAAACCCACGGCAACTCCAGCTGTCCTTGTCACCCCCAGCACCCCAAATCCCCAAGGACCCTGGGTTGTCCTTGTCACCCCAAATACCCCAAGGACCCTGGATTGTCCTTGTCACCCCAAACACCCCAAGGACCCCGGGCTGTCCTTGTCACCCCAAACACCCCAAGGACCCCGGGCTGTCCTTGTCACCCCAAACACCCCAAACACCCTGGGCTGTCCTTGTCACCCCAAACACCCCACAAGGACCCTGGGTTGTCCTTGTCACCCTGAGCACCCCAAACCTCCCAAGAACCCCAAACACCCCCA